AAATCCAGGTATACCTCATCCACTGCATCCCTTCCATCTAGCCATCTCGAAACCTTGTCATAGAATTCCACAAGGTTTGTCTGGCAGGACCTGTTTTTGCGGAAGCCGTGTTGTGTGACTGTCAGCCTCCCTTCCCTATCTAGCATCACTAGATCTCTCTTTATTATGAGCCTTTCCATTGTTTTTCCTACAATAGACATAAGGCTAACTGGCCTATAATTTCCCCTGTCCTTTCTACTACCCTTTTTGAAACTTGGGACCCTTCCTCTTCCAATTTACATGCTGAAAGAAGCCCTTTTTGTTGCTCTTGATATTCTTGGCAAGTCTCAGCTCGTAATCGGCCTTCGCCTTGCGAAGAATCCTTCTGCAATGGGCCTCCTCCTCCCGGTATACCCTTTTGTCTATTTCCCCCAGTACCCATTTCCTACGGAGGTTTCTCTTTCGTCTAATCCCTCTAACCACCTCCTTTCGCATCCATGGCGGCACTCTCCTCCGCCTCCCCACCTTACTGACTAGAGGTATCGTCAAGGCTTGTGCCTCCAAAACCTCCCTTTTGAGTGCTATCCACCCCTCCTCAACTCGCTTACCTTCCAGTAACCTATCCCAGGAGACTTTCCTCAGTCTGGCCTTCAGTTGGCCAAAGTTGGCCCTCTTGAAGTCCCAGCTTCTAGTGCTCGACCTGCTGCACATCCCCAGTCCCCTGATCTCAAAGCAAAGGATGGAGTGATCACTCGCATCCAGAGCTCCCCTGATCTGTACTTCATCTATCAGCTCCTCCCTGTTGGTCAAGACCAAGTCAAGGATGTTTCCCCCCCTCGTCACCTCTCGGACACTCTGTATGATAAATCCTCCCTCTATAGCTTCTAGGAAGCGACGTGACCTGGCTGTCACCACCGAGTGAGTCTCCCAAGTAATATCCGGGAGTGAGTCTCCCAAATCTCCCATAATTACTGTGTCTCTCCCTCGAGATATCCTTAGAATCTGGTCTGTCAGGACATCATCCAGGGACTCAAGTTGACCTGGAGGATGATAACATACCCTCACTGTCAGTTTTCACCCAGACTGCCTCTACCGAATCCCCATCTGTGCTGCATTCTATCTCACTGCAGCCTATCCCTTCCCTGACATATAAAGCCACGCCCCCACCTCTCCCTCCCTTCCTGTCCTTTCTAAAAAGGTGATACCCTTCTATGTTCACATTCCAGACTTGCCTTTCATCCCACCAAGTTTCTGTGATTACCAGCAGATCATACCCTCCTATTCCCAGGAGAGCTTCAAGCTCTTCCTGCTTACTACCCATGCTCCTAGCACTGGTGTACATGCACCTCAACTCCTTCCCACCGCTTCCTTTCCTTGGAGTTCCCAGCCTCCTCCTTCCTCCCATCCTCCCTGATACCTGGCCCCTCTCTGTAGGAGTCCTGTCAGTCCCTGCAGTATCTCTAAAACCCTGCTCCCAGAGCCCTGATCCTCCCCCCACACTTGTCCAGTGCAGACACATTACTTGGGGGCCTGAACCCGCCCCCCGGCTCAGTTTAAAGTCTTCCGGACAAAGCTTGCTAGAGCATCTCCAAAGGACCTTTTCCCCATCCTTGAGAGGTGTAACCCGTCCCTTGCCAGAAGTCCATTGGCAAGAAAATGAGTGCTGTGGTCAAGGAACCCAAAGCGTTCCTTCTGGCACCACGCCCTAAGCCAGTCGTTCACCTCGGAGGGCCTTCTGTCCCTTCCTGGCCCAAATCCCCAGACAGGTAAGATTGATGAGAAGGCCACTTGGGCCTTCAGCTCCCTGAGTTTCTTCCCCAAGGCCTCAAAGTCGCTGGTGGTCCCAACCACACCCTGCCTGGCCACATCGTTTGTGCCCACATGGATCACCAGGAGCGGCTGGTGACCCCCAGAGCAAACAAGACACTCCACTCTGTCCTTCACATGCCGGATGCATGCGCCCGGCAGGCAGCAAACCTCCCTTGTCTCCAGGTTGGGAAGGCACACCGCCGCCTCATTGCCCCTCAGCAGGGAGTCCCCAACAACAATCACCCGCCACCGTACCTTCCCGGTACTGGTGGGCAGCCATGCCCTGGCCCTCGCCTCTCCCGCAGCGGCCCCGTTGCCGCCTGACATCCCAGGCTGGGGGTCCTGCTGGTCCCCTGAGGCCTCATCAGCCCCAGCCTCCCCAGGTGGAGAGAACCTGTTTCCCAGCTCCAGATTTGTGCCAGGAGAAGGAGGAGGCAGTGCTGGCCTCCTCCTCCTGTGGGTGACATGCCTCCATGTTTCCGCAGCTGCTCCTCCCGTGGTCTCTCCCTCAACCCTCTGTCCAGAGGGGGGCTGCTCCGGTGGGGCCTGGAGAGCTCTCTCGGCCCTCAGGCACCTCACCTCCTCTTCTGGCAGGGTCACCAACTTGCACCGAGGGCAAGTGTATCCCTGCCTCTCCTGGGGGAGAAGGGCAAACATGTTGCAGCTGTCACAGCGGACAGCAACACCCATGACTCCCACCAAGGCCATCTCCTGGTCTGCCATCGGTATCCCTTCCGAGACCTTACCATGGTCCCCTGCCTTGTCTGTCCTGCAGTTCCTCTCACTCGCCCAGTTCTCCCAGACAAAAACCCACTTGCACACACACACAAGGATAAAATAAACTTAAATTGGAAGAAAAACAAAGCATAGCACAGTGCAAACAAAAACAAACAAACAATTAAACCTCTGTCTCAGGGAAGAGAGTCTTTGGATAGCCAGGGCCCCAGCCAAGGGACGCAGACAAGGGACGACATCCTTCCTCTCTGCTGCTCCTGGCCCTCTGCTCTGCTGCCCAGCTCCTACTTTGCCTTCACCAGTCCCCTGGCCAGTCAGCACTTGCTCCCAGCCTGTGCTTCTGCTGCTCTGCCAAGAGGCCAGAGCCAAAAGGGCTTGCAGTGGCTGAGCGCGGCCTTATCAGTCCCTCAGGCCGGTGGCCCCACCTGTCCGCTCCCTCCTGGCCCCTCTAGCCTCTCTGGCCCCGCCCCCTTCCTCCCCACTGCTCCTGCCCTCTGCTCCCCTGCCCAGCTTCTGCCTTGCCTTCGCCAGTCCCCTGGCCACTCCGTGCTCTCTCCCAGCCTCTGCCTCTGCTGCTCTGCCAAGAGGCCAGATCCAAAAAGCAGTATCTCATATATATCTTGTATATTCAGTAAATTTGTATACTGTCATGTGTTCAAGTCCATCTCACTCAGTGTAACAGACCATGGGAACAGGAAGTTAATTCTTAGGCAATGAGTCCTTTGATTTATGGCTGTCTTTACAAAATAAGACAAGTTCAGAGAGGCTGATAGGTACTGGCTATATGTTACATCAGGTATGGAGAATTATTTACCACACAGAAGCTGCAGCGTTTTCTAGCTCAACCACCATGCAGCAGATTTCTTCTCAAAGCCCTCAAATACAGATATTCAGCCTTTTTCCTTACCATTCTCTGAAGGGACAAACTCCTTTTGCCATGCATAGAGAGACAGAAACAATCATGCCTCACATAGCATGGAGAAACATGCCATTACATGTTACCAAGGGGCCAAAACCTGTCTTGCTTCTGCAAGCTAAGTATCAGACTCCACACACAACTTAGAATAATGTTCTAAGTGTCTCTTACTTTCTTTGGTAGTGAAGTGGTAGCTTAAGTTCCCAACAGGCAAATCCAAAACAACAGTTTCTTTGAAGCAGATAGTCCTGAACAGCTTTCCTAATATAGAACCTTGAGGGACTCCACTGGTTAGGACTCTTCACTGGGAGAAATTGCCATTAATACCCACTCTAAGTCTTCTACCCTTTAACCAGTTAGTGATTCACAACAGAACGAACCCACCCACCTACCCTGTTTCCATGCACACATGCTTTTTATTCCACAACTGCTTAGTTTGCTCAAGAACCTTTGGTGAAGCACTTTATCAAAAGCCCTTTGGAACTCCAGGTAAACAAAGTCTCCTGTCTACATGCTTATTTGGCATTCTCAAAGAGTCTCTTAGTGAGACAGGACTTTTCGGACTGGGAAACAACCTTAATTCCATCGCTGTCACATTAAATATTGTGGTGACCCTGAATATGTTTGGAATAGTTTTCCATTACTAACCATACTTCCATTAGTAAGTAAAGCTGATCCTGATACATCTAGGTTTTGGGATCAGGGCTTCCACCTTAGAATGCCCAGCCTCTAAGAAAGGTCTGGCCAACATTTTTTTAAAAGAAGGAACATACTAGACTTCATCGTAATCTTGGAATACAATCACCACATATTTTTGCTAGGCGAATAGCAGCCACATGGAAGTGTGAGTAGTGAGTAATTTAATTACCGTGGGATGCAGGGAAAAAAACCTGACTTTTCCAGGCCAGGTAAAAGCTCCCTATAATTTAAAGGCACTTAGAGGGTCCTTTAAATAATTAGCAGATAATTTACTATAAAGGTAAAATAATCAACAAAAGATTATTTGTTGAAACAGCAGCAGGGGGAGGAAAAAATATCTTGCCCGCTTATGTTCTCAAGGTTGTTCTAGCTTTACTGCACCTGCTATTAGCATAACAAGAGCAAGTGTGGAAATAGTATTCCCACAACAATTTTCATGTCTAGTTTGGCCTCATCCTTCCCCATTCCATGTAGTTCTTACAACAGTTTATATCTTCCTTGATTAACCTGATGCCCCACTCATCTTTTGAAATCTAGAACCCCTCAGTTGTAGTCAAGAATGCTGGGAATTGTAGTCCAAGACATCCAAAAGCCACCAGTTTGTCATGGCTGGAGTACTCCAGAGCCCAAGCCAGATGTTTTCGTAATTCCATTGAGCAATTCTGAAGTTTCTTGCTGCACCTTCACATGAAACAGCAAGAACTGTGCCTTAGTTAATGCAGGCTCTTACAGGAGCTATGTATGAAGTAAGTTGTCTGTTGAGACTTTCTATCAGGTATTACTGCACTTTCAGGAGAAGCATTTACCAATCCCATTACCGAGAGAGTTACTTGTTGTAGTGCCATGCCATTATTTTACTTACTCCTGTCTTCTCATCAAAAATTTTGATCCCTCCAAAGGAAATGGTTAGAAATATTTTCTGCTTGTGTTCTCCTTTTGAACGAGCTGCAGCAACAATTCCCTGTTGGAAGAAAAAAAAACTGGTTCAGATTCAATATCGTTCCACTTCTGGTTTGCCCACCCTGGTATGGAGGGAACCGTCATTCTGAAGAGAACTGAATACTGACAGTTTTCAATTGACCTTAGATACCACTTTGGCACAATATATCATTCTATTTATAAACCTTTTGGAAGTAAGATCCATTGAATGAAGTGTTACTTCTGTAGAAACCTGTATAGGATGGGTTAAATACTGGTCAGGGTAACACACAAATACCCTCTTAAAATTTTTCACTCTATCTGTAGCTAAAGAAATTTGGAGAATTAATTCATCTTATTTCTCCAGGGAAAAAAAAGTCTAGCAGTTTCTCAGAAATGGGGCTCATCTTTAGTAGTACATGGCTTCTTTTGTACATGGCCCAATCACTCAACCCCTACAGACACAAGTGAAATAATTGTAGCAATTTTGCTGGCAGCCTGACCACAACTGTGAATTGTCCAGAGTGCCCTAGACTGTATGGGTCACTGTATATGGAAAATGGATACCCACAAAAGAAAGTGATGGAAAATATTAAATATTTGGAAACATTCTGCAAACATTCTGCAAAGTGGCTTTATTTTCCTGGTGACACGGTTGGGAGAAGTATTCTGAAAAACCTTGGCTCAGTTCTGGCTTCCGTTTGCTGATCCATTTTAAATACCTTACAAAAATGAAAGGCCCTCCTGCTATGAGCTACATCATTCACATTTTAACAAAACCCACTGATTTTGCTGCAATCAAATCCTGCTGCTCTGGTGGGCTGACGACTTGCAGCAGATCCCACTTTCCTCGCTGTTGCTTCTTGGAACACAGCAGGCGCAATGTTTCATTCTGAAGGCAAAATGAATGAAATCTGCATCCTGGTGAGGAAGTAGAAAATCCAGAGGATCCACATTCTCTGTCTTGAGCTTTTATTTTTCCTTCATAAGTATTATAAGTCTTTTTTTTAATTTTTAAGAATCAAATTCACATATAACTACACACCGATAGAACTAGAATAATCAAATTATTGTCCCACTGGTTCTCAACATCCAAATTAAGGCCTCCAAGCTTATCCATTCATAATGGTTCCCAAAATATAACCTTTTAATTAAAAAAAATCAATTTATTAGCATGCCCTAATCAGTTTGTGTCCCTGACCTTCCTTTTTGCCAAACAGACAGACAGTTGAAATAATAGTAATGATGCTGAGCAGGGCCAGTGAGAGCAGGCAGCTGGCATGGGCCACGTCCCAGCAGGGCCCCACTGAAAACAGCTTGCTCCTGAACTTGGGTATGGCGTCTTACTTGTCCCCCTGCCTCTCGCTCTGACTCAGGGGACAGTGGGGGCACCGAGCAGCAGCAGAGACCTACTAACGCACTGGTTCTGCCTGGCACAAAAGTGATCGTGATGACAGGAAAGTGGAGAAGCAGCAACATGAGCTGGTGTCAATGGTGATGAGAAAGGGGGCTTGACTGCACTTGTATCTTGCTCAAGGGTCTTCAAAACTTGGAGCTGGAGCAGGGACGGGTGCTGGGTGTGAATGTTGTCAGACTTGGCCTGGTCCATCTCATGATTTTTTAAAGCTAGTTTTAAATGAAGTACTATTGTTAAGTACTTACTAGACTGTATCACTTGGCACAACATGTGGGACCATCACATGATTTAATACTGTATACATATAAAAACTAGGTGTCAGAAAAAAGGTTGCAGTCTAGGTTCTTTGCTGCTGATATATTAGCTTTCTTTCCATGCTACACATGGAGCATGTGCTACACATGGAGAGACATTTCATTTTGTTCATTATTTTAACATGATTTGTCCTATTTTATATTTCCCAAGTTAATTTTGCACTTCTCAAAATTTTGTGATGTTTCTCCAATTAAAAAAAAACTTGCACAGAAATGCACACAATGTGGAACAATGCATACAAAATGTATTCACCTTTTCTTGTGGGATGACCAACTGATATGGAATAGGATGGACTAAATTTATCCTTGAAAAAAGCAGACACTGAAGAAAGCAAAACAGAAAGCTGTATCTATCTAGAACTTGCAGGCATCCTTTTTCCAAGAGGAAGCTTTCAGACATGTGACTGCCCCATCTATAATATGAAGTAGTACCATCCAGTTTTACCACACAATCTGCTATTTGTATACACTGAGTTAGATGTTTAGGCCGGGAGGTTCGGAGAGTTCATGAAGAGACTGCATTTCTGCAACCCAGTGCAAAGAGTAGCAATTGGTCAGCTTGCAGAATGCTTGCAGCCCAGCTTCTGTGAAGGAAGGAAGAGTTGCCAATTTAGCTTGGATCAAATGCCCCAGGGTGGAAACGGTTGCATTGGTGGACTGAAGAATGGGAGGAAGTCCTACAGAGAAAGAGACTCTGTGGTGACTGACGGGATGGGAAGACTTAGGGTTGTAAAAGAAAAATGGGGAGCTTGGAGCTGGGGAGTTGAAATATACAAAGGCCGAGTCTCTACAATAAAATTCTGTGGAAACATATTGTACAGAACATGCTTTGCTTCCACTTGCACATTCATTCTGCATTTTATTACTAACTGTTTATGTTTAGGAAATGAGATTTAATACATGCAAGTCTTGCATGAGTATTACACAGGTGGAAGCTATATTTTCCGAATGCATTGTGCTTGGTACCATGGAAACAGATATTTGGAGTGTGTCCTTCCAGTAATTCGTTGTAATATGAAAGTGACAAGAAGAGCCTATTTAGATATATAGGTTTTATTTGTATTCATCAATATTTTGGTGTCTATCCAAGGAAATAACATTTTCAGACTGTGATGCATACTGCTTACAAATTAATGGAACTGGGATTTATTTATTTAAAACATTTCTATGCCGCCCCCATCGCAACAAAGCCTCGGGGCGGCTCACAACAAAAACAAAAACATACAAAAATTATACACTAAAAATATTAAAACCCGGTGCATCTTGCCTTAATTTTTTTAAAATCCTACATAATAAATTAACACTTAAAATAAGTTTTAAATAAAAAGGTCTTAGCCTGGCGCCGAAAAACAAATAATGACGGCGCCAGGCAGACCTCTCTGGGGAGCGCATTCCATAGGTGGGGCACCACTGCAGAGAAGGCCCTCCCTCCTAATATCATTCACAGAGGGTTCCCGGAGAAGGGCATCTGTTGCTGATCTCAAGGGGCGGAAGGGCATATATGGACACAAGCGTTCCTTTAGATACCCAGGGCCCAAGCCGTTGAGGGCTTTATAGGTCATAACCAACACCTTGAACTGGGCCCGGACTTCAATCGGGAGCCAGTGGAGCTGACGGAGAACTGGGGTTATATGAGAACAACGCCCAGTCCCCATCAGCAGCCTGGCAGCTCTATTCTGCACCAACTGAAGGATTGAAAGTAGCTCTCCAATCCACTGCCCTAAATCAGGCTGTTTTGCACTTTCAATTAGTTGCTTGTGCTCCCCTGGGACATTCAGCTATTCGTGTGTTATTTTAAGCTCAAGGCAACATCTGAAATGTGTACTCCGCATTGAATACTCCACCCCCATTGCATGCTTCCTCTTCATCTATTTTATTATATTATTTAACTCTTGCCCTTTCTTCTAGGAGCTCGGGGTGGCACACACGATTTATGTAAGAATCCTGTACAGTCAGTCAGGCTGAGAAACAGTGATGGGCCAAGGTCACCCAGCTAGCTTTGCAAGTGAACAGGGGGCCGAACAAAGAACTGTAATTTACGTCCAATAATCTAGCCACTTCGTAACACTGACTTGGACAGCAGGGAAGAAGCAGTTTAGACAAGTGTTCTGACAGTCTAATGACCATCAGCCCAGGCTCTGTGAGAGACCACACATTTTCACAGAGTAATAGGCAACTGTCACTTAATGCATGTTTCTGAACTGTTCTGTTTATGTGCATGCACATGTACTGTACCCCTATGGATTGTCCATTTTCATACAAAGAAAAGTTGCAGGTTTATCCATCTCAGTGCTCAAAGTTGCTCTTTGAAATATTTATGTCAGATTCTGCATCCCACATGCAGACCACTAGGGCAAGGACCATCTTGGATGGAACCCAATCAATATGGTACACAACATAGTGAAGGTAAAGCTTCAGTGGAAGGACATTAATAATAAAAGAGAAGTAATGTCATTATGGCAAAAACCTATAGAGTGAGAGCAACTGGAATTTGTGGTACCACCTGTTTCTTCTGGTTCTAGTAACCTCATACAGTTATACAGGAAAGTCTCTCAGATATGCTAGCAGGAATTTAATCTCTTCGAGGAGATATGGAAATAGAGATACTCTAAGACAGTGGTGGTGAACCTCTGGCATGCGTGCCACAGTGGGCTGCAGAGCCCCCTCTGTCGGCACACGAGCCAAGTCGTCCCAGCATCGCCCCAGCAGCCGAGCATTGGATATCAGAGTACACAGGGGTCATGTGCATGCTCGGAGTAGTGGTGCCAGGCAATGTCATCACAAGCCGTGACTCATTAGCTGCGACTCGTCCAAGCTTTCTCATGGCCGGTCAGTGTGCTGCCAAGGATATATAATTGCTCGGACTGGCTGTGAGTTATTTCTAAACTAAAACCTCAGTATTCAGGTTTTATTGCAGTGTTGGCACTTTGCGACAAATAAGTGGGTTTTGGGTTGCAGTTTGGACACTTGGTCTCTAAAAGGTTTGCCATCACTACTCTAGGAGAAGAGATAAAGAGGCCAGTCTAGCCTGAATAATAGCAAGAAGGCTCCAAACCACTTGTTGGCAGATGGAACCTAAAATTAAATAACAAATGTGTGACATTTGATTAGGACTAGAGCTGTGTCACGGCACATGATGCTTAAAAACCTCAAGATGCTACTGGGACCTTACTTCATAAGAATCAGTGGAGGCTGGTGGTTCCAACATCAGTGAACTTTAGGCTGAACTTTAAAGGAGCTATGCACAGTGCTAAATTCTTCACCCAAATATGTTTTATGTTTGCCTCTTTAAAAGCTCTGACTGCAACCTGA